ACTGCAAGCAGAGGCACTTTGTTTTCATGGAGGTTTGTATAGTGAACAACAGCCTTAGAAGATAGAGATAGTGTCTTCTTTCAGAGCAAAGGGCAGATTTACTTACTGTCCAGTACAATAAAGACAATGTCTCCCTGTGAGGCAAAGTTTGGGCAGGTTTATTTGCAGCCCACTGTTCCCTAAGCTCAGGGTTCCCTCAGGTTCCCTAGGCTCAGGGTTCCTCTCTGGTGATGCAAACCCTCTGTATTTGCAGCATCTATCTGGGCTGCTCGGCTTTGCCCTTAATAGCACTTGGTGGCAAGAGAAACCAGTACAACATGAAACTCAGTCTGTTTACTGTGCTGAGAGTAACAAAGTCCTTTACCCCATAAAAAAGTTCAGAAGTCTTGTGTCTTTTGTTAGCATCCATGAAACTGTGGCAGGCTGACTTCTTAGCTTGCAAGTAAGGTAAATTCTCAGACTTCACAGGTTTTTACACCTTTTCCTTAATTTAGTTTTTGCACTAGTAGTATTCTGATATTTCTCAGCTAAACTTAAGGTCTTTTTTGAATTACCAATGCTAAAGAATAAATTTTTGAAAAAGGATAAAGTCATGACTCTCACATGTAATGAAATGAAAACGTATCAAAATTTTATTTAACTCATGAATTAAAGAGGGAACCAGCCAGATGTCACACTGGATCAAAGGAGAGATCAAAGACAAATTTATATGGAATAAAGGAATGCTGAAAATTATTTACAAATGGACACAAAATGGGCTTTTTACGTGGGAGGTTGGGTTGCTTTTACACGAGGGAGCAGGGTGAGGTGGAGTATGTTGAAGTTCCATCAGACAGAATTTATTTGCATGTCTATCAACAAGAACTGAGATAGGTGGTGCTCAGTTTCCACGGGTTTGGGTTACAAGACACATCCTGGGCTTCAAGCCACTCCCTAAGGACCTCCTCCAGGCCCTCCCTTAGAGGAGAATCATTGTTTCTTATTGCACCTATTTTCAGTACCAACATGGGAAGATTGAGATTAAGGGGGGCAGGTTTATGCAAATCTAGTGACTGAGCATGCTCAGTAAAGAAGAGTTATATAACCCTAATGGCTGAGCATGCTCAGTAAAGTGGAATTTATCATTTGAACGACCTTCCACTAGAGGCACTAAAGAGAACAGAATATTCTTATACATGTTCTGTTCATGTGAAAGAATTTGACCAAAGAACATGCCCTTAAGAAGCCAACTGAGCATGTGCAAACCTGTTACATAACCTGTTACACAACTGGGAACCACCACCCCCCTTAGTTGAATATTCATTAGACAGCATGAATATATATTAGATAGTGAAACTATAAAAGTGTAATCCTGGTAGGAGGCAGGTTGTTGCTCACTTTCCTGGGGCCAACCCCTACTCCACCAGCTGAGGTGTGTACACTTTACTTTTGTACTACACTTACTTTTGGTAGGTGGCTGCTCATTCTCTTGATCCAGCCTGCACTGTGTACTTTAAGTGTGTATTTCTGACTTTTGTATTAAACTTAGTGTGGGCCTTGCTCAGTCTCTGGAGCTATGCGGCACTTTCCCTGCAAAGTCTGTGCTTCCTATTCTCTAGACTAAACCTGTTTCATTTTCCACTGTGACACTCTTGAGTTCTTTCCTGTGGTGGAGTCAAGAACCTGGTAAGAGGACAGGGTGGGTTGAAGCCAGCTATCAGGCCTTCCCAGACCCTCTCCTCCAGTAACAGAATTGTTTGCATTGCTATTAGTTATCCACAATTTTCAGAGTTGTAAAATAACTTCACGACAAGGAAAGGCACAAACTCCATAGAAACAGATAATCGAAAAAGTGTGCTGTAAACACTGCATAATTTCCCATTGGAGATACAGAGTAATCTTTTTTTGCTTATTCCAAAGTCTTAACTTTTCCTTACACCAACACCAATAAAATGTACTATAAGAATGCTTCCAAGGTTATTGATCGAATATGGGAAAATGAAAAGGAGGACGGAAAGGGATCACGAAAAGTAAGCCTAGACACACATACGTAAGAAAGATATTGGAAGATATTGATCTGGGAATGGCATCAGACACAGCAGAACATTTGCTCAAACTCTGTCAAGACAGGAAGTCCTAAATGATGTCACTGATTCAGACAGTTCCCTTTATTGACCACTAGGTGTTGCTAAGCTGGCGTGATGACCTGTGGCAGGAGGAGGAGGGGCAGGAGCTGCAATATCTAATCCATCAATAGTGATGTTCGGCTGATTCACAAATTTGGGGAGTTCCTTGGCAAGACATTTTTACCCCTGAACCTAATCCAGGGCCTGGCATATAGTAAGCACTCAGTACAGTGTTTCCTGAAGTGAATTATTCAGAATGCAGGGGGTGTTTTTACACTGTAGGCATCCAAAAAAACCATGACATTTCTGAGTAAGGGTTCTTTAAAGGCTCCTGATCATGCTAGAACAAAGACAAAAAACATTCCAAATTATAAGTCACTAGAGCAACTAAACAAAAGGAGAGAAATTTAGCCATGAAATCAGACTTGGTAAATTATTAACTGTTTCCATTGCCTGTACAGACATAGCAAAATACTTGTTTGAATGCAGACATGGTGAATCATCCCTTTATTTCTTTCTGTCTTGCTCAGGTACCATCAGACGCTGATTCCTCCACTCCCACCCACCAACACTTTCTAGTAATTTCTAACTAATTTGGGGGCAATGAGAAACCAATGGCAAGATATCTATACTTTTATGTAATCAATATTAGCACAAAATAAAAAGTAAAAACTATAGGGGCAGTAACTGCTGGTTAGAAACACTAGCTTGAAGGAAGGAGAGTGAATTAGGAAACTCTCAGAAAACCCCAGGAACAGAACTTCTTCCTTCTCCTAACTTTCCTGGCTCCTCAGATGCCTTCATGGGCATCTATTGGTCTTGACTGCCTAGGGACCTTTCCTTCTTCTACTGTCAGTAGCACCTTGACTTTACTTTGGGGGACAGCCCCTCCCCACATTGAACACAGTCCTGCTGGGAGTGTCCATTCACGTGTTCCCCTTCAGATAGCTGAGAGTGAAGCACTAAGCCAAGCCATCCAGTCAGAGGCCCAATCCCTGGAGACTGTTGGAGAGCCTGAAAACCACTGGAATTCTTGCATCTTGGTGTCTCAAAGAGACAAGTCATTAGTTCTTACTCTCTGGAACCCCACAGCTGTCCTGGTTCCTGCCCTTTCAGAGACCCACGTCTTCATTTCTCCTTCAAGTATGTGAACTTTCCTCATTTTCTTCCGGTAAATTTCTTTTTGCCTTTTTTGCCAGAGTTGATTTCTGTTGATCTCAGCCAAAGAGCTGACTGGTGTAATGAGAAAAGGGAACTAGTCAAAAATCTAGTCCTATGATTACTTTTATAATCTCTGTTGAATTTATCATTGGAATGGATCAGCCCTAGGATCATGAGAAATAACTAACATAACTTCCTTGAAAATGAGAAATGACTAACATACACAGATACTTCCTATGTTCCAGACACTCTTCCACATATTTATGTATATTGTCATATTTAATCTTCGGCATGACCCCATTAGATAGGTGTTATTATCCCCTTTTTACAGCTGAGGAAAATGAGGCACAGAGTGATTAAATAACCTGCCCATTTTCACATGGCCAGATTAACATTTCCCAAAGTTTGTTCTATAGAATGATAGTATTTCAGAATTGTATTAGTTTCCCAGGGCTGCCAAACAAAGTAGCACAAACTGGGTAGCTTCAAACAACAGAAATTTATTGTCTCAGAGTTTTGGAGGCTAGAAATCTGAAATCAAGGTATCAGCAGGGCCGTGTTCCCTCTAACGGCTCTAAGGGAGGATCCCTGCCTGTCTCTTCCAGAGTCTGGTGGTTGCTGGCAATCCTCTGCTTTCCTTGGCTTGTAGATGCATCGCTCCAATCTGCGCCTTGTCGTCACATGGCTGTTTTCTCTCTGTGCCTCTGTCCTTTTCTTATAAGGAAACCAGTCTTACTGTATTAAGGGCGCACCTACTCCAGTATAACTTTGTCTTTTAACTAATTATATCTGCTTACCCTATTTGACCTATTTCCAAATAAAGTCCTCAGGTACTGGGGGTTGTGACTTCTTTTGGGGGGGGAAGATGTAATTCAATCCACGACAAAACTGTTAATAGAAATTGTCCAAAAAATAATTCTGTGGTCAAATGAGTTTGGGAAGAACCATTATAGGATTCTTTGCTGTAGTACATTGGGGGGAGGGGTCTTTAAATTTGTTAATATGTAAGGGGAGTCATCAAACTGGGACTATAATGTACAGTTTCTGAAACACATTTGATTTTAACAGGCCTACTATGGGATTAGCATTCAGTGTGGGGCACCGTTCTCATGCCCAATGGGAGGCAGCGACATACTGGTGTGGTCCCTCCCTATTCTTCTGGGTTTACCTCTTACCTGCTGTATCACCTTGAGACAACTGATTTTCTTCTTTGAGCCTGAGTTTCCTTATCTCTAAGAGAGGGACAATAATATACTTTCCCCTATGGATTTCCTGTGAGGACTAAATTAAAGAGGTAGGCTGAGAAACACCTGGTACAGTGCCCAGCATAGAAGTAGGCGTTCACTTAATAGTAGGTACCTGTGTTATGCTACCCAGGCAGTTCTGAATTTTTTGGCATTTTTCTTAAGCATTTCCAGGATCTCAGGAATAATTCCTAAGCAGGACAATTTCCACCAATAAGGTTTTCTTGTTCATCTTACTTTATTTTCATCATTTTATTTTTCTCTTTAGGAGAGTGATTTTCTTTATGGTAATAAAAATGTACCTTTGGTATACATTCAATCCAACTGCACTTTCAATAAATATCCAACATTAGCAAAGAATGGGTTGTTTGGCTCTGCAGTTCCTTATTCTGATCTTCCACCCCAGTGAGGGAAGAGGATGTGATCATGCGACCGCCAGCAGAAGGGAAATTGTGAAAGAGACCTCACTGTAGAAAAGGCAGCCACAACCACCTCGACTCTCAGAGGGGGCTGAGCTTCTGAGAGGACTCCTCTCAGAGTGGACCTGTCTGTCCATCTGTCCGTCCAACATGGAACCAAAGCAGATCAGAGAGGGCTACCTCGTGAAGAGGGTGAGTAGAAGCGGCATTTACAGGGAGATGAGTTGGGGGAGCATTTGTGTCTAGCTTTACACTCTACTCATTCATTTTAGGATGTTTCAGGCTGAACCTACTGGGTGAAATAGGAGAGTGCAGCATGTAGAGTGTTGGGGGGTGGAGAGGGGAAGCCTGTACATTTCCACTGTCTTCTCTTTCTTAAAGGTGAACTAATCCAGCTCAGTCTTTGGCACAGTTTGATCTGACAGGTCTGAGATTTCAGACTGCAGGGTCTGGAAAGTGGGGGCTTAAGCTAACTCTCTCACGATTTAGAACATCCTTTTCAAGACCCACACATGCATGCTCTGTCAAGAGACTTCATATAGAAAGACTATTCATTTGTTATTTGAATTCCCTTCCCTCTCATTTTTATTTATTTATTTATTTATTTATTTATGGGGGGAAAGAAGAAAGTGGTTTAAGAGTTGATGAGGTGATATAATAATACAATAATTATAGTCTATTCCTTGGGCCATCTGCTTAGGATTGATGCATAAAAAACTTTTTTTTTATTGAGCTGAAATCTCTTTACTCACAATTCTTAGTAAATTTGTATAACATGCCATCAAGATGGTAGAAGCTCCATTTTGAAGATTAGGAGATAGAGGCCCACGTTTACTAAAAAAATTCTTAGTTTCATTGCGTGGCATCAGGAACATTGAATTTTGTTAGCACTATTGGTCCTTCTTCTGACGGGTGTATGCTGAGTCATTGTCAACTCCCTCCCGCGCACTCCCACCCGATGGTGAATTCACACATAGGGTTTGTTGGCGTCTTGTAAGCAACACCTATACACACAAGAATGTTCACACTAACCCAAGTGAGCACAGCCTTTCAGAGGTGAACTGAATTTAATACATTCCTTCTGATGCCTAGCTTTGTAATTGTTTAAACATGACTCTGTTTTAGGCCATTCATTTGTTTCACATTTTAGCCTAAAATGTTCTAATTCTAGGAGTATTAAACAGCATGCATTGATGCCTGATTTGATTCTGATTTCAGGCTGGAAGGGACCTTAGATCATCTGGCTTAATTCCCTCATTTGTAGAAGAGGAGATAGATCCAGAAGGCTCAATGATTGCCCAAGGTCACATGGCTGTGACAGAGTTGGGACAAGAGACCCTCTCTCTGACTCCTGGGTTTCTGACTCATGGCACTGAGCTCTGTTTAGCATCCCAAGATTTTCTTAAAGCAAATTTAATCTAAGTTAGGACTCATAATGTATTTGTGGTGGTGAGAGTCATGAGTTAGTGCTGGAGAATAAATGGGCCCTCAGCTGATACTCTCTCTAGCCAGTTGTACTTTGAAACATCCTTTGGAAAAGACACACATATACACACAGAGGTGTGTGTAGATTCCTTGCAATAGGCACCAATACTCTCTCTGGAAATGAATAAGAATTAATGTTGACTTATTTCTTTCCTGATCACTTGGGTTAGTATCCTGAGAAGAACAAGTGGATGGAAACATTTCCTACAAAATGTTTGAATTTTCCTCAGAAATATTCCCTTTGTCAACTGCAGAACTAAACCTGCACCAAAATTTTCTGGAAAGATATTAAAGTTCTTAACTTCTTTAGATGTTAAGTTTCTTTCAGTTACCTCATGTGTAGATGAAAAGCTATATAGACCAGGAATCTAGAACACAGTAGGTGCTACATAAGTGACAATGATTCTTAGTATAAGTATCCATATACACCTCAGTAGATAGCAGGTCCTCCCCTAGATGCTAATGGGGATATGTATTAGTTCCTGAGTTGGCTGACAAATTATTCATGGATAAAGGACCATAAACATCTGACTGTCGTTGTTGATGTTAAAGAATGTCAAGAAATGATAGACGAAGCTCCTTTACTCACCTTTTTCTCTTACGCAATTTAAGATACATGGGTAGTAGGAAAGAACATCTTTCCCCTATGTCTTGTTTTACAAAATAATTCTACCGGAGATGAGATGTTCTGAGTGGAAAACATACATTAGAAGACACTGATGCAGGAATTTTGTTAAGTCAGAAATCTTGCAATCAACAGTGAATGGCATTAACTGTAAAATGTTTCTGCTTTTCTTCTGTGTGAGATAACTGTCCACATTTCACAATTCAGGTTTCCCCTTTTGCCTCCTGACTAAGATCTTTAAATAAAGATGATGCTTAAAAGGGGGAGGGAAAATACACGATTCTGTCATTTTCCAACTTTTTCATTTTTAATAACACCCAGACCTCCTTGCCTCAGAGTCTTGCCACTTTTGATTAAAAAAAAAAA